CTTTGAGTTAAAATAAACTACGACTTTAAAACTTCTGATTGATATCTTATTATCGGTTTACATTCCATGACCTTTTTTACGCGCCATTTTACCTACCGGAATTGCCTCCAAGTTTCATAGTAGCAAACAGGTCAATGTTGCGATGCCGTCTGAGATGGGTAATAATATATTAGGCTCGTTGTTCCACCAGAACTTGCGACTTCTTGTTGACAAATATAATTATATTTTGCCTTTTTGCTGCTGACTTTTACGTAGCGACCCTACACTTTTGACATGTTTACATGCGTTAAACCGATTTTAGATAAGTCGTTCGTAATATTAGTCACTTTCACGTTTTTCTTTCTCTTAATTAAACGTTGAAATAATCGAGCAATACGCAAGCATCTCTGTATCGGTTATCGTATTGCTAAAAAATATCGATATATACCGATTACCGATATATTGATCCAGCCCTAACGAATGTATATGCCTGGTTCATGAGACTTTTTGTGGATTCCAATGGAACCCTTAAGTTTCTCTTCTGACTTGCCTTTATTATCGGTAGCCATTTAAAATTTTCCAGAACTCTCTTTACCGATCTCTGTATTTCTGACAGATTTTCTTTTGCCAAAGAGGTCAAATGGTCTTGGCTGAGCATAAGTCTTAGTCTTATTTGGACTGGATCTACAATCCTTCTTGAAGTTTCCGGGCTTACCGCACTTGAAACACTTTTTGGAAGTACCTGTAATCTGCTTCTTCTCGTCAAAACCCCTAGATATGTTGTAATTAGTTTGGTAAGTACGAGACTTCTGTTGCTCAGTTTTCATTTTATTTACATCAGTCTGTAGGTTCAGCAGCATTTCATTGACAGACTTTATATAGTCCTCTAAACTACCACTTTTATTCTCATGGCCAATATTGTCACCTCCTGCTTCTCGAACAAAACCACTATCTTCATATCGTCTGCGTTCTGCCCCAACAAATGCATTGAGCTCAAACAGCGTGTCGAATGGTATCGTTCAGTTTCTGGGGTCTTGACTGTTAATTCTCAAACGCATGTCAAAACTAACAAGAGCATTGATAAAATACTCTTTCGCCAACGTTTCACACACACATCTCCTGGAGCTGTTGGATATGCCAGGTGAGTGAGTCGTCTAATATCTTGGCCTAGCTGTGGTATTGTTTCTGACGCTTTTTGTCGTCTCTCCTTAAGTTTAGCCCTGTACAGTTCCGTCTGATTAGCTGAAGACTTGGACAACTCTTTAAAATCCATTTGCAGATATTCTGTTAGGTTTCCAAGCACACCTTGGGCTAGACCTCTTAAGGACACGGCCAGATACATACCCTTCTCTTCCTTAGACCAGTGGTTCAAGCAAGCGCATGCATTGAAATGCGACTTAAAGTACAACCACGACGTCGTTCCATCGTAAGTTGCAGGTTTCAGCTTACTGGATTTTTTTTATCTTTTCCCAAGTGGTGCCGAACATCATGTGCTTCAAATCTATTGTTTCTAAACCTGTGTGTTGTAACATTGCTTGGAACATTTCTAGGTGTTTCAAAATATAGGGCATGGTCTGAATCTGGTCTACGTGTTCTGTCACTGATGTAGTCAAAATCAGTTTCAGCCTCAGCCTCAACCTTTACCTTAGGTTTATCTCCTACAAACTCTTGTCTTGGTCCAGAACTCACTTGTTTCGAGGCACCAATGCCAGTATCCCTATTTGTTATTGGAGTTGATGCTTTCTGTCTCTCTTTTTCCCTCAAACGCATACTCTCATTTGAGAACTCTTTGATTTTCTCTTCAAGATAACTTATCTCTTTGTCAACATCATCCATGGTTTAAGACCTAAACGTAATGTTTCTGAGAAAAAGTTCTTTAACAAATAATTGTTCTTATCATAAAAATAACTGGCGGGATTTGGATCAATTTATCCCACCGCTGCCACCAAAAATTTGTAATGTGTTTTGTGTATTTGACCACGGAAAAAGTTTAGATAAAGAATTTTCCTTACGTTATTTGACGTATTTAGCTGATTGGATTAAATAGAAGAACAAACACAATCAATCAATAATAATCAACAACACAATGATTTAAACTTATCGCCTATATAATTATAATTTTCCTTGGATTGTTATCTTCCTACTTCAAGTACTAAGCCCCTGATCTGAAACTATGTTTGAATACTATAGCTCCCAGACCTATAGTTTCGAACACTGGGTTTCAAACACCAGTTTATAATATTCTATTTCTCTTTAATTAACCCGTAAGAATCTATGTTACTCAAATGGTCTGTCTGCAGAACTTTGAGACACCGCAAATGAGAAAACACAAATACCTTACTGATGAGACGTCCTCTTCTTATGACGGCTTCTCCACAACTGAACACTGGGACTTGAATGAGCCCGCTTATATACTTTCTTAGATCTGCTGAGTCAGATCTTGATCTTCTGAATGTTTGAAACATTGACTGGACATAGGAGATAACTTTTGATTGCTAAGAGACTATTTTAAACCCTGATTATATAAATATTAACTCGATCAAAGGAATTTCACTACATTAGTATAACATTGAATGCTTGATTTAAAAAGGAAGTAAAAAAGTATCGTAGTCAAATTTGTCATTCAAATCCAGTCTTAAAAAATATCTATAGAAAAATTGAGAATGGTTGTTTTTTCTCTGTATGAGAAGGGTCGAGTTTCCTTGTGCCTCCGCCTGGGCAGAAGATTTCCAGCAGTGTTTGCCCGTAATAAGAGCCGAGATTTATGAATATTAGTCACGTGATCATCTCCAAAAATGCTATCTTCACTGTCAGAGGAGCACCCATCAGAGTTAATATCGGTGTCTCTCTGGCTTTTACGTCTCTGTCGTTTGGCATTTGCTCTACTTACATGTATATCCTTTCTTTCTTGCAATTTACAGATATGTTGAATAGCTCTGTTATCAAGAGAGCTTTAAAATCGAAAACGCCTTACCATATTGATTAATTGTTTTTGTTCTGTTTTTTCGGTCGGTAATTCCGGTTTGATATCTTCGAATTCCAGTACTTCTGGCTCATTGATTGTGTATTTATGTTTGTTTCGGTTGTTATCATCATCTTCATCATCATTTTCATTGTTTACTTTTTTAAATCCCAGACGTAGAAACTCCTCTGCCGTGATATTCTGCTTTAAGTTCCCAAGTTTTCTTTACCGAACCTTTGGCCGTATCTTTGAGTATTTAGTAAGAGTGATTTTTGAAGGACCCGTCTGACTTTCCTCTGCGTTCCCTTCCGAGGAATCCATATCTTTTAACGATTCTGTTTTGACTCTTTTCATTTCTTTCATCTCCAGTATAAGTGCTATTTTTCGTTTACTCAAGGACTTGATGTACTTCTGCCTCTGATCTGAGAGTATTTTGGCTGTGTTACGTAGCTGCACGTCCGCACACTGGTTTTTACTTTCAACATAAATGGATGGAAGCATTACGGAGCTGGGTAGTTTGTTTAAATGAAACAACTTGAGTGGAACCATTTTCCCCACAAAATTCCAGTTCATTCTAGATTATCTGTTTTCTTTTGTTTCTTCTTTTAAAATACGTGTTACAGACACAATGTAGAAAGAATATCTAGTTTAAAATTCCTTAAAAATCTCCCCTGCAGTGAAAGGGACATTTTGGAAGCGTGTTCTCAGACGGCCTTGCCAGGCAACAAGTATGATCGTACTTATATAACGGACTAGCAGGTATTGACAGAGTAATTTGAGGACATGTTTTATGTGTACTTAAAGTAATATGTTTGTGTAGAACATATGAAAACCTAGAAAGAATTGAAAGTGCGTGCACTCTAAATTTGTTAGTACATTAAATGTGTTAAATCACGAATTTCTTGTATTTCATAATTAAGCCTTCAGTATATACATGTAATTACTGAAGAAGCTAGGAAAATTCACGTATTTATTGAAAATATTAGTCAATATTACACATTTTTAATTTTATAGAACAGGGTTACTATGTTCATAATTTGAAATATACAATGAGGGTCATACACTAGTACTGTAAATCACTTTTTTCACACTAAATCACCCGAACTTCCTTGTAGGGAGGAGGGATTCATGGACACATTCAGCCTACCTCTTCACGTGTTCTGTTTTAATTAAGTGGCGTTGAAAATGTGAGGGAGTTCAGACTCTTTTGATATGCCACGATGACCCATCGGTTGTGATGACAATTAACATCTTTAATAAAATGAGGTCAAGGAATCACTCGACTTATAATTTGTTTTAATTTTATTTTATATAATTCATTTCTATTAAAATTTTCAGATGTTTTTGACAAATATATCCTCGACTAAATACCAACAAATAAAATGTTATGATAGAGAAAAGCAGATCTTAAACTGAAAAGGACATGGACAAAGTTTCAGCTAAAACTAATTTTAAATTTATTTTTCCATTTTTAATTTTTTTTTTTACAAACATTTAACTAAGGTATTTCTAATGATCATCAAAAATATGAACGTCATTTGTCAAAAATCAAGACAGATTTAGAGCTCCAAACCTTTGTTTTGTGTACAAGGTCCAAGCCATGTTTTTGTTTACAATAGGCTAATATACTAATATATGTTCGTTCAAAGCAGACATTTTAGATAAAGAAGTTAATTCTAAAAATACGATTTGACTAGTTTATAGTGATTTATTGAATTTCATTTTGTTGCAAGTATGATACTTTCTACATGTAAACAAAAACAAGGCAGGACCCTTGTTTACTTTATAAAGAACTTTAAGTTCTGTATCTCCTTTTTAAATCAACAAATGATATGTTCAATTTTTTGCTGATCATTAGAATTGCCCTTGTCAGGATTTGTAAGCATAATAATTGATTTTTAAAAAATTCAGTTGAAAGTGTCCATGTCCCTTTAGGTGTAAATCTAGTAAATGGGTAAAAGTTTCTTTGTTGTGCTCTCGCGTAAATTCAATAATTCTTTTTTTAAATAAAATTCTTATCACACAATACCAACACGAAAGACCTTGGTTTTCAAACATTCCAAATGTAGAAAAATCTTGTTTCTAAATATTGAAGATTGGAACTACACATGCACACAGCATGAATTAGTAACATCTTGTAATAATGTCAAAATAAGATTTATTAATGTTTAGAATACTAGGTGAAAGAAGCGTGGGTCGTTTCAGTTTGGGTTTATACACAATAAAATAATGAATGAAGACCTTATTTAAACATTGAATTTCCATTTTCTTAAATCGGAAGATTCTTTTGAGACCTTAATTTTATAGCTGTAAAATGGAAAAAAAAAACCATCATATTATTAGTTTTTAAAGAATATTTTATTAAATTAACTGGCATGTTTTACACAATCAAGAATGCAACAGAAAATTATAAGATTATTCACATCTGTGTAAATACATCCCACTCAAAGTATGTGTTTGAACAAAGAGGGTGATTAATTATTGCACAATAAGTTGTAAAACTTAGTCATTACATATACATGTAGTACAAAACTGTTTACGTGGCTTTCAAAAATAAAATAAAAATAGCCATCTATTTCGTCAAACACTTGATTATACAGAGACCAATTTAGCGGATTCAGTAGTTTTATACAGTCTTCTTATGACCAACTTTGACATCACGTAGCACCTTATAAGATTGATACACATTCTAGGTTTGGCTTCACTTGTGAGCACCATTCGAAGTCACCTGACCGCAGCACCAGTTACTGATACGAAGTTTATAGCGATACTTTCTCCAACACAGCTATCATTTTTTGTCGTATTTCAGTCTCCTGTTCACATTCACTATAGGCTCGGTTCGAACTTGCGCTGAATATCTCCTCTGAAGATTGTCAATTCGGGCCTCTCGCAGTCTATCTTCATAAGACGACTTCTTAGCGCTCTTCGCTTTGGATGACAAAACTGAGATGTTTGATTTGTACTTTGACACAGAGTTGGACTTCGGTGACGGAATTTCTTCCTCGTCATCTTCCAGTGAGTATACACTAGAGCCGTCATCCGAACTATTGCCATCCGAACGATAATTGTCCTTGTTCGTATTTTCCTTCAATTTTTGAAGTCGTGCCTTTTCTGAAGCAAGAAAAGTAGGACCGGATAACAACATAGTTGGTTTCTTCCTTCCTTTTCCAGTTTCTTTCACATTTCTTATTTTAGCAATGTCTTTCAGAAGGTCTTTTTGTTCTTTAGACATCTTATCCACGGACATTTGTCTTTTAAATTCGATGTCGGACATCGACTGTTGCATCCTTTTCTCGACCCAGTTATTGATATGCTCTGCAAAATCATCAGCAAGAGATTTCCCTTGTGGTGGGCAGATTAGCGTCAAGTCGGACATAATTTGGGAGTAAATGCTTGGATTTACTTTAGTTTAGTCGTTGGTCTGCTAGACTCAGACTGATGACCAAGTTTTTGTTTCGGTCGTTTTTATAATAAGCACGCACCCTAGCTCTCCCGCTGAGAAGCTTAGGAGACATACACTATACCCCTCAAGTACTTCAAGGGTTGTTCAAGAGTGCACAGGTAACCTCGAAACATATATCATGTTGCACCCCTTGGTGTGAATGAGCAATCACAGGTATTCTTCAAACGCGACGGAGCAGCAAAAGGGAAAGTAAATACCCACGGCGAGAAAGTTCGATTTTCTGATAACAGCCGTAGGAGAGCTAGTGTCTTTTTGTATGTTCATATGATTACTTCTGCACTGTGTTTTCATTTTGTACCTTGTCCGAGAGATGATATAAGCTAGTAAATTCAATGTTGATTAATAAAATCTACTAACAAAAATACATGTACTATTTTTATGAATTCAAAAATAAATACCTTTTATTTTCCCTAAACTAAAAAACTACAGATTTATCTGCGAACCTTTTGATAATTTATCATTGTAAATATTTTTTGTTCCTTGTAAAGTTTTACAACCGTCAAAAAATAATCGATGTTGACAATAAGAGAATGTGCCCCCTCCCCCCTAAAAAGAAGATCAACATACTTTCAGTTAAAATATGTTTATATCTTTTTTGAAATATTTGCTAATTAATTTCATTGGAAAATCGTAAATTGCAACAGCCTATAGTTCAAAGCATTATTTTCTGTTATAAATCGTCAAAAGAGGATTATATTTAGTTATTCCCTTCTATGGCAATGAAGAGACAAACTTAATACAAGGGTATTCATAAAGTCTCTTCAGTGTTGCTCGGAATCCAATGATTTATAGCGTTTGGCGATGTACTTGAAAAGACCAACTACGTAGATGACGAATGTCTGTCTATGTTTGAGAAAGACGTTATGTAAATTGAAATTCATCTCAAATACAACTGGACTCTTTTTATGATTTAAAAACATATTGAAACAGTTTAGGAATATACGTGGATTGTGTTTTAGCGACTAAATATATACATTGACAAGGAAACAATAATTAAGTAAATTGTGACTCGATAAACCACTTGACATATTAATTAAGTACATAATTTAAAATTGAAATTAAGTAATTGTTGAATGCGAGGTTGAAAAAATTCAACCGTGATGTTAGACAAGCTATACAATGTATGCTTTTCACTGATCTGATTAATAAACAAAGGTTAATATGATAGTCCATTCACACTTTGTGATCAGCTACAACAGATAAATAGTCTTGACCTGTTTTTAAGTCCGAGTCGCTGTTCTCTGTTGTATCTTTTTCACTGTGCGTTTTATTCATCTCCGTTTGGTAGTTTGGTGCTATGTAACCTCCCTCTGTTGGATTCTCTTGTATTGTTGCTTGATATTCCAAACGGAATGGTTTGTTGCCTTCCTCGGTCAATTTAGATTCAACGCCATGAAATTCTATCAAATATGAGCTGGAATTCAAATGTGTTATTTTTGCTTTTGTCAAGCCCTCAAATAAAATGCCTTGCGAAAGGGGAGGTCTAGTGCCAATTGCAGAGTTTGATAATTCTATTTCAAAGTAATGGTCCTCAGAATCGTGCTGAATCGACTTATTATTCTTGTCTTTTGTAATGCTGGATTTGTTTCTGTTGTGGTAATGACATGTAAAATGTAGACAGACAATTATTAGAATAAGGCAACATATGCCACACATTCCTGCTATCATGATATTCTGGAAATTCCAAAAGTTATTTAGCGCTGTTGTACCAGTAATTGTTGCAGAAGTACGGAAAATATGTTCAGCAAAATCATGTGTGGAATGCATAGGTTCACCTGTACTTGTTGGGATTAAGAGAGAATTGGTCTCCTGTTGTTTTAACTCGGTAACAGATGTTGTTTCTATATCTTTTGTTGTACTTTTAATTTGTTTCACTGAAATAGTATTTAAAAACTCTTGGAATTTAATGATAAGCATGAAGTAATAAAATTTTTGGTGTAGCGTTCCTCTTTAAAGTATATTAGGCTTTTTTTTTAGTTTCAGAGAATCTAAAATTACCGTAATGTAAATATAGGTAATTTCCAATATGAGGGTGTTTCTTTACCTGTAGTTGTCCGCCTTATACATCCCTTACTGAAGTCACATAAATGTTTGGCGCAATCACAATTGCCTTGACATCGAAATCCGTATGTTGGAAACAGGCATTGTCTTGTACATTTGTCACCCACAAAGCCATCAGGACATTCTGAAATATAAATATAAATATAAATAATTAAATACATGTTTTTTTTTTCTTTTCTAATTCCAATTTTTAACCAATGAAATTTAGTGTAAGATATTATGGCTCATACCTCGAAACATTCATCAAAACCGAATGCATTGCAGTTGCATGTTTGTAGTCAAATTAATGTTTTAATAAATATTAATCATCGAAACAAGATAATGTGACTGGAATCAGTGAAACATCCACATTATTATTTATAATACCACAGGCAGAATATTATAACAAAACATCGATTCCACTTTTTAAAATTTTTTTGTAATATCGCGGGTATGAATTTTAAATATTTTTTTCAACGTTTTATTTTTTTTATATGGAATAAGTTGTAAATGTGTGATTAAATAATAATTTTTAAAAAAAGAATGCAGAAATTATATACTTGGACCAATTTGAGAGTCTACAACTAATGTACAGAATGAAAAAAATGTACTCACTTATGCATCGATTCAAAGCTTTATCAAGCATGTAACCAGAGCAGCAAACACTGCCATACAATCTAGAAACATTAATTTGCATGATTTACATATCGGTATGATAAAAATTTCAGCTCTATTTCTTTTGTGTCGAATAACATTTTCCCCTTTAATCATAACGTGCCTACAGTATATTTTGACTAGTTCCAATATCTTCAACACTACTGACCCTCCCCTACACTTACCCTGTACACTGAGACTGACAGGAGGGGGGTGTCCACAGCAGAAGCACGAGAACCAACAGTGGAATCATTATAACTAATTCTGAAGTTTATCACCCAAACAGCCAAACAGTACTTTGAATGTGATATAATTTATTTGACCCTATAATTTTAAAGCACCAAAATATAATTTGTAAGTGAACACGGAAATTATAGCAATCATAGATTCAATCCGTATTTTACTTTCAAGAATTGTCATTTAGGAGTATACTGTATAGATTTATTTCCTTTTCATTAGTGCAAATTATATATAGTAACATAATACATCAGACTTGAGCTAACAAAGATCACATAAAGGAAATATACATGGTTTTCAGTCAAGGGTCTTAAATTATGTCGAGAATACTAGTATTAGAAAAATAGAATACTAAGAAATGCAAATGACTTAAAGTTATTTGAAAATCAAAACAAGGAAAAAACACCCCCACCCCCTATAATTTTTTGGGGGGGGAGGGGGGGGACTTGCAGATTCAATCCCCCGAGACCACAGCTGATACGACTAAGACAACACTTTGTACCGTTATACCAGACAACACGTGTAAATATCTTCAATTTCATTTTAGGGGTAATTTTGTCCCTATTAGTGTCTTAAAATCTTCACTGTCATCTTTAACTTATTTTTCCCCAAACAAGAGAAAAAAAGGCAAACAAAAAAATATGAGTATATATTGAATGTAACGCATCTAATGTTTTTGTTATTTAAATTCACACTAGATATCAAGTCATTCGATATATCCTATTTATAAACATTTTGGGACAACTGATTTAAAATAGGTAATACATTCTTCATCTCACATTTTAAAAAGTCGATTGGAATAGTAATTAACACATTTTTTATTATATCTGTACTCCATTTCATTGGACCATTTCATGTAAAAAATATTGATATATCAATTTAAACCGAATTTTTTTAAACTTAAAATTTCTACTTTCGTTTTGATGTTCTGTATGATGATCGTCTATTAATTAAAGGAATAGAAATATTATAAGGCTTATACACATAATCAAATTCCGGAAAATTATTTTCTCGAGATCTGTGAAATAGTCGAAAATATTCCAAATTTAGGGAAGGTAAGAAGTTTTTTAATCAGTTTTGGAATCAAAATGGCATTATTAACTCTGAAAATGCGGAAGTGGGTGTCACGTATTGGTATTTTGAGGCGGGAAGGAGAGGGAAAAACAACAAAACAAATACCGCAACTTAATTTTTATTATTATTTTTTTAACTAAATAAGCATACATGCAAGATTCATGAGTAGTTTTTTCCTTACACGCAATGTGTACCATTAATGAAGGATACTTGAATCAGTGTTTACATCATAGTGTTCATATACATTTCCTACATGTAAAGGATTTTGAAATTTATATTGTACATGTTTTTCGATAGACATTTCAAAGAGATGTAAAGCCTAATAAATTGTATCAAACTTCTCAAGCTTTATACGAGTGTATTAATGACCGAAATCTATATAGAGTTCCTCGTTTAGTAAGCCAAAGATCAAAGTCCAAACTTGAACACTAAAAAGTTTTAATTAGGTTTTACAAGTTTAAAAAGTGAAAGCGACAGAATCTAGGAAACAAAAGGGTTGAATTGTAGTTGCAATTTATTTTAACAGCAGTCGAGAAAATCTTATCTTCAGGTTTACCTATTTACAGAACTTTTGAAAACTTTCGCTGATCAGTATGACCTGCAAAATTCAGTCACTTTTTATCCCAGCCATACTTCATACTCACTACTACTGATCACATGCAAGCACTACCCGAGTCCATTGTAAACCGCAGAAAGTAGACCTGTATGAAAACATAAGCAGTGAAAGTAGTACAGTCGCGGTTAAACAGTATTATGGCAAAAAAGTTTATTTTCGAAATTGTTGACTGAGGCTGTTACGGTCATTTTAAAGATACATTATATATTTCTCACTTTGAAACAAAAGTACTTACGTCAAGTAAAAACTTCTCAATATTTTTTTGAATACGGCTGAAAAGGATTATAGTATTTAATAATATGTCTCAAGTTTAAATAAAAAAGATTTGAAGTATATAAGATGGAACTTTTGGTGTTCTTTAATGAGCAACAGTTTACACAATGAGGCATTAGAATTTATTTCTCTTAATATATTGACCAGAATAAGACATTCGTTTTCAGGAAGTTTGAACCATTCTAGACAATGGAAGAAAGGAGAAATATGATGAAGTACTTATGTCTACAAATAATACAAAAAGTCTACATTCTACTCACTGTAATTCAGGTAAGTGTATCCTATACAATGAATTGTTCTCATAATGAAGTAAAGAAATACTCACTTAAAATAGTAACTTATGTTTTTTTATTGACTTTAAAAGAGACAGATGGTGGGAAAAATGATTTTATCTTTTAATGTTCAAACAAGCATTAAATAATTTAAGCCCAATACATATTTATTGACGTTAAATATCGTTTTTACAAGGATTCCACTGATAGTGACGTATGTGTCAAGCCAAGTTCTACCGTCATATATGTTTCTACTTGCCCTGTCACAGATGTGGAATGGCAGATTTCTTCTCTGAGGAAAAACTGTTCTCAGTATTCAGACAAATGTGGATACAAGTATCACTGTTTAATCAATCCATTTCTTAATGCAACGCTGGAAGTTTGTGCACAAAGAGCGAATATAATAGGTACAGTATTGTGTGTTATAGTATCACATCATTGTAAAAATCAAATTTCAAACGTTACAAATTGTCTTAGTAAATGTTAAACTTAGATTTTATAACGATCAAATTAATTTTCAACTTTTCATGCTACCATGTGAAACAATTTGTTAATTATAATTAAACAAAAACATTCATATTTGTAGAGAGAAAATGTGCCGAGTTTAATCCAGGAGGGGAGGTTATTCAAGAAAATTCTCTTGCAACATGTCAGAAAGCAGGAGAGAATTGTCCTTACTCATATTCTTCGACGACTGCATATAAATGTAAGATATGTTGGATTTATTGCATCAATTAATCAGTAACTTAAATTCTTTATGGCTTAATTACATCAAATCTTGGATTCAGAATAAACATAGTAACAACTGGATTTACTTTTGTTTGTTTGTTTTTTTCTCTCTTGTTAGATCCTGGCTGTTATAATTTGACAAAGCAGCAACATACCAGCGGTAAAATGCATATAAACCAAAACAAGGAAAAGTAATTCTCTCTCTCTCTCTCTCTCTCTCTCTCTCTCTCTCTCTCTCTCTGTTTATGCAATAGTCAATGGTCTATTGATCAGGATTAAATAAAAAAAGGTCTTGAATAATCTCTTTAACAATAAGAAACAACTGTCTTCACTGTGTTCTGTCCAGACAATAGATTTTTTTAAAGTTGATTATATCGTAAAATCTCTTGATTTCGTTTTAAATTCTTTTGTATTATGCTTTGATTTAGAACAGCAAAAAAAAAAAAAAAAAAAAAGGATCTGCAGAAGAAACGGTTCTTTTCATCAGTTGTCTGGCGTATGTCGTTGTCAACTTTTTCAGATTTTCATTTTTTTTCTAAAGAACCACTTTGCCAACTTCAACCAAACTCTCTGGGCGAAAGGAGTTTCAATGAGCGATCAAAGTTTAACACAAAATAACACACAAATATATAGGAATAACATTTTTAAAAAGCTTTTCCGGAGCAGCAAAGCCATCTTATATATATTTATAAATTAGGCAACACCGATTCAAGTTTGTTAAAATCATGACTTCTGGCGATAGGATGGGGGTTTTAATTTGGGTCCTTTTTTCAGCATATTTAGTAAAAGCCCTTAACTTTAGATCATCATATAGCGTTAGAAGCGCTATTACAAAATTTCGACCGATATCTTTCATGGGCTACTTATAACTTATCACATGTTTAACTTTTCAAGAAATACTAATAGATATTAAATTCAGCGGCATAGCTTAAGTAGGAAAAGGTCTCATCCTCTGTCTCCCTGTTTGGAGTCAGAAAATATAGAAATTAGGAAGTATCGAATAATAGATATTCAGATTTATATGCTAGTACTCGGTCATAATCCTTCGTGGTACACTGTGGTTAGACATGGGCTTAGCTTACATACATTGTATTTTAAAATATTAAATATAAATTCATTTTCATAACAGTAGATGAAAAGTTTTTCACTCAAGAGTTATATACTTGTCTTTTTTTTTCAATCGAAATAATCCAAAAAAATTTAAATATAAAATGTTTTTTAATGTAACAAATAATAATAAATTAAGCAAACTTTGTAAAAATTTCTTGATACACTGTACATGCATTATAATTGAGAGAACTGACTCTCTAGATTGGTATTACACTGTTATACTTTCTTCAGGCATGTACATGTAATATTTTGTTGCTGGTAGAATTGTATTCACCAATATATTAATTTTTCTTTCAAAACTCTCTGAAACCTAAACCTTTCTACAATTTGCCATTTAGCTCTTCTCAACGGTCATTTGAGGTATGGAAAGTGATTTTGATTTGCCTGTGCTTTGTTATAGTCATAGGAATTGTGATATTCAGTATCATATGGTGGAAACGTAGAAGACGGCAAAGTTCTTTGAGAGAAGGTGATTATAAAAAATTTATAAGTTAACATTATAATAATGTGAAACGTTAATTTTTCGACAAATTTTCTTCAAGACAGTGAAATTTCTATCTTCATTTTAGGCTCTAAGAAAGAAAGTGAACCTTTTGTGCAAACATCTGAAAAATCGGAAATGAACACAAACGAAACTAGTAATGGGGGTAGGTACACTATTCCTCATTTTACATATAGATGAAACTGTCTAAATTCTTTATTGTACGGGATAACTTATCATGCAAAGGCAATGGTTTTTATTTGATGATCGAAAGACTCAAGAAACATACATGTATTTAATCTTAATTGTCATTAAAGATTGAAATCACACGATCACACGAACCGTAGCTCTGATACCTTTAACGGCCATCTCTCTCTCTTTTTTAAATTCTTTGCAAAAAGCCATGCGTTTCACTCTTTAAAAAAGGGTTGAGATATTTTGAATATATATTTAGGTTTAGAGGTTAATGACAATCAAATCTTCATTTCAATGCAATATTTTCGTAATGCAGATTTTCAAATATAAGTCTTATCACAATGATTTGAGTCTTGTCACAATGTTTTATGTCACGTTAACTTAAGTATTATCTATCATTTTCAGAGCATCCAAGAAGACCTAGCATAATTAATGTTAGTCCTGATCCAACGTACTACACAGCAAAGGATAAAACAACGTCAGAAGGCAAACGTGCGGTGTTCGACATTTTTGACAAAAAATCGGAGTAGCAATATGCCACAGGAAAACAGAAGTGAAATTTAAAATTCTTGGTTCAGTGGAGAACCATTGGTCTTCAACTAAAACATTTCAGGAAAAGTTATTTCTACGAAATGTAATCAAGACCCCGAAATGAAAGGCAACCGTATTTGTTCATTTTTTGGCATTATGAGAATTTTCGGAAAATAACTTGAAAAGTTTGCAGATTGACACTTGTCGAAGATAGGCGTAAATATCTGAATACCTATCAATTACTGTATCCAGACACACCAGAAAGCGGACCCGAACCGAACCCTTGTTTGTTTGTGCGAATTCTACATCTCGCACAAAGGAAATTCCGAGAAAACCCCGGGTGAAGCAAGTGATGATTTAAATCTAGGAAGACAACTATTTAATGTTTTTTTTTTAAATAAAAGAACATAAAGAAATGATCACTTGCATTACCAGTATAATATATCAGAATTTCATTTGCTTTTCATAGAAATTGAATTGGGGTTTTAATACTTTAATACTTGTCACTATTTTATAATACACTGAACTGATGCTGCATATGTAAGCTAATGAACTTGAATTTCGTAGCGGTTGACATTTTCTTTTCTGGAAGAAATAGTACTTGTAGGTTCAGATTCTGGAATACAAAGTCTTCGTTCACTTGACTTTGTATGTGTAGTAGATACTAGTACCAGTATGGGTAATTATTACTGGTGCTCACATTTAAAATGGATTTTGAAAACTGAAAAAAAAAACAAGATGTGTTTGTGAAACACAGATGCCCCCGTATGGCAACATAGCGAAGGTTAAGCTTTCTCAAATGCAGATCAAATATGTTGGTACCTAAAGTAAGGCTTTTTCACAATAAATTTATACAAATGTGAAATATAAAACACTAGCACCACCTGTTCAAGTGTTATGACCAAGGGTAACATTTTTTAAGGTAGGACAAACTCCAGGGTCAAGGTCAAAGGGTCAAGGTTGTTAGTTTCTAAAGAAAGGCCTTGTCTCAGAGATTACATATGGGAAGTATGAAAGCGCTGGCCCTTACCGTTCAAAAGTTAGGGCCAAAGTTAAAGTTTGTAAAAAAGTAGGTCAAACTCCAAGGTCAAGGTCATAGGGTCAAGGTTCTTGATATCCAATGAAAGGTTTTGTTACAAGGATTACGTATGTGAAATATGAAAGCTCTAGCCCCCTACTGTTCAAAAGTTATGGCCAAGGTTAAAGTTTGTAAAAAGTAGGTCAAACTCCAAGGCCAAGGTCAAAGGGTCAAGGTTTTTGATATCCAATGAAAGGTTTTGTTACAAGGATTACGTATGTGAAAAATGAAAGCTCTTGCCCCCTATTGTTCAAAAGTTATGGTCAAGGATAAATTTCGTAAAAAGTAGGTCAAACTCCAAGGTCAAGGTCAAAGGGTCAAGGTTTTTGATATCAAATGAAAGGTCTTGTCAAAAGGATTAAAGATAGAAGTATGAAAGCCCTAGACCTAACTCTTCAAAAATTATGGTCAAGGTTGTATTTTTAAAGAAGATCAAACTTAAAGGTCAAGGTCAAAGGGTCAAAGTTCTTGGTATCCAGTAAATGGACTTCTCACAAGGATTACATATGTGAAGTATGAAAGCCCTAGCACTTACCATTCAAAAGTAATAGCCAAAGGTAATGTTTTTATGCGCCCGGCTCGATAGATCCGAGGCATATATTGTTTTTGTCCTGTCTGTTTGTCTGTTTATCTGTTTGTCTGTCTGTTTATCTGTTTGTCTGTTTGTCGTCTGTTGTCAACTTTAACCTTCGCCATAACTTTTGAACCATGAGAGTTAGAGACTTCATATTTGGTATGCATACTCCACCAATAAAGTTCTTTCAAATGACATCAAGGTCAATGACCTTGTGATCCTGACTGTGACCTATATGCTAAAAAAGCTTTTTAGAACTTTCGCCGTAACTTCTGAACTATTAGAGGTAGAAACTGTATATTTGGTCTGCTTACTTCACTAATGAAGCTCTTCCAAATGACACCAAGGTCAATGACCTTGTGACCCTGACTGTGATTTACCTGCTAAAAATATTTTTTTGAACTTTGTTGCCTCCAGGCGCATAGTGTTTCTCAAACACATCTTGTTTTATAAGTGCAAAAATCTCCAAGGTCAAGGTCAAAAGGTCAAGGTTGTTGGTATCCAATGAAAGGTCTTAAAAAATTAAAAAGTTTAATTAAAAAAAATTATTTTAAATATAAATGTTCTGGTATCTACTATTCAAAAGATATGGCCAAAGTTAAAGTTCAAAATTTTTGTGTAAAAATGGGTGAAACTCCAAGGTCAAGGTCAACAGGTCAAATTTGGTGGTACCCAAAGAAAAGTCTTGTCACAAGGAATACACATGTGAAATATGAATGACATAGCTCCACCAAATCAAAAGTTATACGCAAGGTTAAAGTTTTTGCAGACAAACAGGCAAACAGACAGACAGACAGAGAGACAGATGGACGGACACGACAAAAATATATACCCCCAAAATTTCGTTTACGGGCATGAAAATAAGAATAAAATATGAAGGTAATGAGCCGGTGATCAAGGTATATAAAATGTCCAAAAAAAATAATACACATTAGTAGCAGTGCAAACACGGACCCCTAGAAAGATCAGAGGTGGAATCAGGTGCTTTGCAGAAAAAAAGGTCCCTTGTCGATCGGTCCTACCGATTCTTGTCCTATCGTATAAACGACAAAATCCGTATCATAGAAATTTGTAAAAGTCAAGTCAACATTCGATATAAATAGAGATTTTTATGCCCTCGTAAACGAAGTTCCGGGGGTATATAGTTTTTGTCGTGTCCGTCTGTTTGTCTGTCTCTCTGTCTCTCTGTATGTTTGTCCGCAAAAGCTTTAACCTTGCCCATAATTTTTGATTTAGTGGCATTCATGTTTCACATGTGTATTCCTTGTGACAAGACCTTTTTTTAAGGTACCACTAAATTTGGCCTGTTGACCTTGACCTTGGAGTTTGACCCACTTTTACACAAAAATTTTGAACTTTTACTTTGGCCATATCTTTTGAACAGTAGATACCAGGGCATTTATACTTGACATGTGTTTTCTTTGTGAAAAGACCTTTTATTGGACACTGACAACCTTGACCTTATGACCTTGACCTTAAAGATTTCTGTACTTATAAAAAAAACCTTTAATTTTGGCTATAACTTTTTAACAAACCAAACGTGCTAGGGCTTTCATACTTCACATATGTTATCCTTGTGAGAAGACGCTTCATTGGATACCAAGAACCTTGACCATTGTGACCTTGACATTGGAGTTTGACCTACTTTAAAAATACAACCTTGACCATAATTTTTGAAGGGTTAGTACTAGGGCTTTCATACTTCACATATTTAATCCTTGTGGCAAGACTTCTCATTTGATACTAAAAACCTTGGCCTTGGAGTTAGACCCACTTTGACACAAAAATTGCAAATTTTTTCTTTGGCCCTAATTTTTAAACGGTAGATACTAAGAATTTCATTTTTCAAATATCACTTCTTTTTGGCAAGACCTTTCATTTGAAATCAATAATTTTGACCTTGACCTTGGAGATTTCCGTACTTATTAAAAAACTTTAACCTTGGTCATAACTTTTGAACGGTAAGGGCTAGGGCTTTCATACTTCAAACATGTAATCCTTGTGAGAAGACCTTTCATTGGATATAGACAACTTTGACCTTGGAGTTTGACCTTCTTTTTACAAACTTTAACCTTGATCATAACTTTTGAACAGTAAGGGCCACCGCTTTCATACTTACCATATGTCATCTTTGAGACAAGGCCTTTCATTAGAAACCAACAACCTTGACCCTTTGACCTTGACCCAGAGTTTGTCCTTTCTTTATAAATGATAACCTTGGTCATAACCCTTGAACAGGTGGTGCTAGGTTTTTTATTTCACATATGTATTTTTTCTGAAAAGGCCTTACTTAAGGTACCAACATATTTCATCAGCACTTGAGAAAGCTTAACCTTCGCTATGTTGCCATAAGGGGGCATCAGTGTTTCACAAACACATCTTGTTTTTTTTTTGATATTTCAAAGTTATTGTGTATAGACCATATAAATTGCAGCATGTACACTCACAAGGAGACTGTTAATATTCTTGTATCATCAACTTATTTGTCAATAGCTTTCTTCAGACCACAATCTTGAGTACAGAAATCAACTGGGAGACACAAAGAGAACATAGGAATGTATTCTGTTAAATTAGTGAAACGTAGTCGAGATATCTAAATATTGAACTGAAGGCCAAAAGATGAGACTTTTATCATCTGTAAATTTTCGAATAAATTGTCTCATATGAATACGAATATAGGTCTGCTAATATAATAGGTACAATTGCATCTTTTAGAATTCTTATAAATGGTTGTAAGACTTTAGACTCAAGCATCTTTTCGTATGAACTTGTACTTGCATGTGTGTATAAAATGATTAAAATCAAAATGTTAAAATTTGTGAATTCAAATTTTCTAAAAATTTCTTGAGTTTTCAATGTATCCACACTCAACATTTTCAAGTAAAAGTATGTTTTTATATAGAACTTCTGAAACTCCTTTTGAAAAAGAGAAGAAAGAGGCTTATTTAACAAAATTATATTGGAGCCGTTATTTTTCTTTTTAAGGATTTTGATGAACGTTAAGGATCTAGTATAAATACATATATAGTAATATTCAAGCTGAGATTGATTGTTGGGCATATTAGTTATTTACACCGATTATATATGATATATAAATGTTCTCCTTACAAGGAAAACTGTACATGTACATGTATGTAGCCTGTAAGTTGCACACCGATTGCCATATAAAATCCAAATTCCTCTAAGATACAAATACAGTGTATAAAAATTCAAAGAACTTTGGTTCCCCCGCTTTCGGTGTCTTTGTGGGTGAGATTATTTATGGTATATTGTGTCAAAATGAACGCCCTATCATACATCTATATCATTCAGAAGTTATCACAATTTAAGTTGATTTCTTTGAAAATTAGGCCAATCGTGAAGGTTAAGGTGTCAGAAATCATAGGATGCTCGGAAATACTTGGTCACAGGTATTGCACAGTTCAAATATGAAAGCCCTATGTCTTCTCCATCAGAAGTTTAATAAAGGAAAAATTAACATTTTTGAAAAGTAAGTCAAATTTCAAGGTCAAGGTCACGAGATAAAAAAAATCATAGTGTATTTAGAAAGGTCTTGTCACAGGCAATAAACAGATTTAAGGGTCATTGATACTCTGATAAAAGAGATAACTCTTAATGACATAAATGTCTATGATTCCTTTATATAGATTTGCCAAGTTAAAGTGTTTTTTTTTCGTCCAATTTTGCCCCGCAAGCTAGGCTATAATTGTCAGTATTTTGCTTATAAAATACATCACATTTCTTTTGGAAAATCATTAAGGTTTAATATCAGACGACACGTTCCTCAAATATTATTAGTTATCCAGGTTCAATCAAGGGTGTACGGGGATTTACCCCGGGTTTTATTCCATACACCCTGAGGCCGAAGGCCGAAGGGTGTATGGAATACAACCCGGGGTAAATCCCCGTACACCCTTGATTGAACCTGGATAACGAATTTATTTCCTTTATACCCATAAAAATGCTTTGTAAACATGAGAGTGTGTCTCAATCTATCGATTAGATAACTATCATAGAGAATGTATGCATTGTGACGTCACGTTTTATTTACACCCGGCTCAAGTCGGGTGCACGGATATTTACCAATCGGCAAACCTCGGCTGACTCCGCTACGCTCCATTCAAACCTCGGATGTGATAGGTGGAGGAATACGCACCAGATCGCTAC